AGTACTGAGGGGAGAAGTAGTAGTTAATGTTAGACATGATGGAGTGGTACAGCAATTTGGAGTAGTTGGACATTCAAGACATCTTTAACCTCTGCCTCATAGGAACCAGCTTTGTGCTGATCCTTATAAAAGAAATTATTCATTTTTGAGTGTTATGGATTGAATTGTGCTCCCCCCACCCCCCACAAAGTATGTGTTAGAATCCTAACTCCTATACCTGTGATGTAATGTAAGGTAATGTAATGTGATTGTTTTCCATAATGCAATCTAATGTAATCAATCAGTTGAAGTCATGTCAGTGTAGCGTGGATCCTAAACCTAATCACTTCTGACTTATATAAAGAGCAGTATAGACACAGACATTTGAGTGCAACAGAAGACAGATGTCAACAGAGGATCACCAAGGAACCAAGAACACTTGGAGCTACTGACAGAACGGAATTGACATGGCTATGACCCTGACTTGGGCATTTAGCTTCTAGAACTGTAAGAAAATAAATCTCTGTTCTTTAAAGCCACTCACTTGTTTTATTTGTGTTACAGTAGCACTAGAAGACTAAGACAGTGAGTTTCAGGGTGTTCCCTACCCCTGTGCAGCTGGGGCCTGGAGGGGACATGTGGCTTGGCCCTATCACAGGACAGATGGTGTTTCTTGGGCCTGGTGCCTTTGGCCTCCCACTAGCCTGCCCCATTTCACATATGTGCTGACCCTGCTAACCCCCCAGGGAGTCCCACTCTCATCAGGAAGACAATGTGCCCCAAAGATAACCATGACTTTGACTTTACACACACTTGTTTCTGTTACCTTTGTAACAGCCCCAGGAGGAAGGTTCTCTCTTATCATCTCTCTTTTACAGATGCGGAAACTGAGGTTCAGAGGGGTTAGGGACTCCCCAAAGCCACACAGCTGGTAAGTGGCAGAGCAGAGACTAGAACCCAGGTAGGCTGGCTCTGCTGTGCTGGGCTGTAAGGTGGAGGTGTGGGAGTGGTATGGGAGAGGGCTGCCATGCTTTCCCAAGGCTGCAGGGTCCTCCATGCAGGGTTTGAGCCCTGCTCTGCTGCTTGCCTGATCTGTGACTCTGGCAGTTGGGGAACTCCTCCGCCCCAGGTTCCTTGGGACATGTGGGGGTCACTGCAGTGTCCTCCTGCAGGACACCATGACAGGTGCAAGGCCAGGGAATGCTCAGGAAGTGGGAGGTTGCTGAGCTTGGGGTGCCAGAGATAAGTAAGGGATGATGGGGCAGCATGGGGGCTATGCAGAGGCCAACAACCTGAGAGACACCCTGACATAAGAGTGAGTCTGTCAACAGAAGAAAATACCTTTAAACATAATGATTATCCTTGTTTTTTAAAGAAGTTTAGATATGCTCTATAACAGTTTTAAAACACAACCCTATATTACCATGTGCCCATACATCTGAATACACATTTTACAGATTAAAACAACAAAACAGTGAGTCTGTTGTGGCACCCTTGGTCCTGGAACTAGGCTTGGGGCTCCTGTTGCCCCATGGTAGGGCAGAAATGACATAAGATCCTCATGGAGCAAAACCAAAAACCAAAGGCAGGCTGGGAGTGCTGCCTCAAGAAGGGCCCTCAGACATGGGGAGAGGGTGCATGTGGAGAAGGGGTCTGAGCAGAGCAGGGAGACCCTGGGGGGCTCTAAGCCTCAGCCTGCCTGAGGTTCTGATCTTGCTCCAAAGATGATTCTGGAAAGGCAAAAGCATCCTAGCAGCCTTTACAATACAACCAGTGAGATGGCAGAGAGAAATCAAGGCCCAGTGGCGAGACAGTGTGGTGACTAGGGCAGCTGAGAGCCCCTGGACCCAGCAGACACCCCAAAGGCAGGAAGGGGGTTGCTGAGGTCTGAGAAGGAAGTGAAGAGGCAGGAGAGCAGCCTGAAGCCTGGGAGAGGGGCCGTTCCCTGGGCTCCCCAGCCCTGGACCTCCTCCCTGATCCCGACTGCCCCCAGTTTAGGGGCTCTAAGCAGAGGGGAACAGATGGTCCTTTTACAGGTGAAAAAGTGAGGCTGCTTCAGTAACTAACACAGGATTGACACTGTTGCCCCCTGGAGACCAGTCTGAGGGTCAGACAGGCTCTCCTTGGCCTTACGGTCCTGAGAACAGAGGGAGTGAAGGCGTTAGGTTTCAGATGGGGGAAGGGGGGAAGGGGGAGCCTTGGTTTAACTAAATGATCCCCAGGAATGTTAAGGGGCTGACACAACACACTAACACCTGAGCTGAGACCAGGTGTGTTATGGGACCAGACGTTATGGGGGTGAGGGTGGGGCCGGCGTGTGCAGTACCTGAGACAGGTGGGAGTGGTGCTGCAGCTGAACAGTGAGCTATGGAAGTATGTGTCAGGATTCCCCAGGTGGAGGAGCCTGGGCTGAGCCCCTATCCCTGACTCCCAGCCTTGGTCCGCCTACTGCAGCCCAGCCTCTCCCCAGCCAGGTGTGTCTACACAGGCCTGACCACCGTGTTCCCAGGGCCCTCTGGATTCTCTGGGGTTCCCAGCTCCTGCTGACATATTAGCCCAGCCTCAGCTCTCCCCAGGTTGATGGTTTGCTGCCACTACTGTCCCGTTACCTGGCTCTTGGGAAAGCAGGAAAGGTCAGGAGTACCTTACATAGGCGGTGGCAGAAGCTGAGAAGAGACTGGCCTGGAGTTCACCAAGGAGAGGGGAAGGGCACCTAGGCAGAAGGAGCAGTGTGGGCCAAGGCCAGGAGGGGGATGGCAAGTCCTGGGGACTCAGCATGTGCCAGGCCATGTGGCTTGAGCACTGAGTCTGGCATGTCAGGGCCAGGGAGGCGGCTGGGTGAGGGTTTTTCATCACATTTAGGAAAAAGATATACTAGCAACTAGGTTGGTGATGGACTGGGTGGGGGGCAGTATGGGCAAGAAGGTGGACGTGGCTCCTAAAGCTCTTACTTAGACCTCCTGAGGATTCTGTCATCAGAAGATTGGAAGCCCCCTCCACACCCCACTGACAGCTGGGCTAGTATAAGCTGCCTCAGCCATAGGATATAATACAATTCAGCCATAAAAAGATGTCTACAGAGGGTTTGTAATAACATTGTAAATATTTTCTTATACGCCACTGGTGAAAGTATAAACTAAGGCAATCCCTACAGAGGGTAATTTGGCCATAGCTATTGTTATGGACTGAATTGTGTCCCCTCAAAACATGTGCTGGAATCCTAGCCCCTATACATGTGGATGTCATCCTATTTGGGAATAGGGCTTTCTTTATTATGTCAATGGACTGTATCAGTGTAGAGTATCCTAAACCTAATTACTTTTGAGATATAAAAAGAGCAGATTAGGAACAGAGACAAGGAAGCACAAATGGGGGAAAGATAGATGCCATGTGGAGTTCACCAAGGAACTCCGGAGATAGGGAAACAAGACAAAAATCTTCCCCTAAAACCCACACAGCCTTCTCCAAGAGCTGACGCCCTGAGTTCGGACTTTTGGCCTCCTAAACTGTGAGAAAATAAATTTCTGTTCTTTAAACCCACCCACCTGTGGTATTTCTATTGCAGGAGCACTAAGAAGCTAAAACGGCTTATCAAAATTTCAAATGCCCAGTCTTTCGTCCAGCAATCCCACTCTGGGGAACTGTCCTAAAAGCGCATCTCAGGTATATGAAATGCAGCAGTTTGTGATAGCCGAAGACTGGAAAGGGCCTATGTGCACATCAATGGGGGATGGTTAAACGAGTGACTGCCCATCCATGCTTGTGGAAAGATGAAAAAGAACAAAGACACAGCAATCTCTAAAATAGAGGAAGGGGGATAAAGCAAGGTGCAGAACAGTTAAGTAGTCCATGCTTTCGTGTAGAGAAATATTTAAAGAAAAACATCTATGGATTTATACATGTATTTGCTTTAAGTTACACAATAACTCTGGAAAGATATATAATAAACTAGAAACAGCGTGACTCTGGGGAGCAGTATGGAGTGGCTGGGCCAGGGAGGGAGGGAGACCTTCCACTGTATCCGCTGTTTTAAATGTTGCATCAAAAGATGCAGGACCTGGGGAGAGGTCCTAGTGAACTCAGGGGGGCACCATCTTCGGCTCCGCTCCTCCATCTCCAGGGCCCTGGCGGGCAGGTGGAGGCTGTTGCTTTGGCCTCCAACCAATGACATGCCATGGGGGGAGTTTCACCCCTGGGTCCCCTAACCCGCGTGCTGGGAGCCACAGGCCCTGGAGGGCATCGGGGAAGAGCTGTGCCCCTTCTGGGGTGAGGAGGGCGGAAGCCCCCCTAGGCACCGGGGCCACATCTAGGCCGCGGGGCAAGCACGGACGCTGTGGCTCTGTCTGGGGGGGCCAGGTGCGAAGAGCCTGGGACGGGGGAGGCGGGGCGTGCCCCCAACTGGTGGTTGTGAGGTCCCACCAGTGCCTGGTGCCCGGTCGTCTAGCTCCGGTCCCAGTGGGGACTTTGCTCTCACCACGGGCAGAGGGTGACCCCAGCCCCTCGCCGGGGTCGCAGGAGTTAAGGACTGTGTGTTAGAAACCAGAGTACGTCCATACAGCTGAGTCCAGAGATATGAGAACAGGACTGCATAGCGCTGGGGTGCTGCCGGGCCAGAGAGCAGACCACCCACAGGGAAGGCAACAGAAGGCCTCACGCCCTGGTCACCCCGCCTCACCCTGCCTCTAGTGGAGAGCCTCCCAGGCCTGTCCAGCCGCCTTCTAGAGCACCAGCCAGGGCCCCGGAGCACACACGGTAGGTCCTCGGAATGGGCCTGGGGCTTGTCACTGACGGCCAGAACGACAGGGCAAGAGGGGCTCGTGGGTGAGGGCCTGCTCTCAAAGCCCAGCAGTGTCATGGTATTTGCTGCTGGCTAGAGTTTCAAGTCCTGTGCCCACACTACTGGGCCAGCCAGCACTACTAATGACCTGGCAGGGAGGCAGGGTGAGGGGGCAGCCCCACCAAATAGGGTTACATTTGCAAGGGTTTCCAAACTCTGCCCAGCACTGCTGACCAAAACCTACCTTTTCAAACCGACAGGTATTTTCTTCAAAGGCATCTCTGGGGGCATTTTTTTCCAGAATGACTTGATACCGTTTTTTATTTCCATCCAAGATGGCGTTTTCTGTCAAATTCAGGAGACTCCTGAAAGCTCACTTCTTGAGGTTTACCACAAGAAAATTTGGACATCTCAACACAGAACAGGTATGGAGCATAGGTGTAGTCAGAGACAAAATGTACTGAGAGCTGGGGACAGTGGTGGGAAAAGGCTCTGGACAAGGGTGTCAATATGAGGCCCTCAGCAGGCCCCCCAGTACCCTCTTCGCAAGCTGAGATACCACTTGAAGGTCCTCCAGAGTTCAACAGTAGGGCTGTATACAGACTTGATCAGAAAAAGATGAAGTCGGACAGTTATCACGCCGTAACCTGGGATGAGGCTGCTCACTTTCCATGACTTTTACTCGAAACCATTCAACTCGTTAGCTCATGCCAAACAAACATTTTACAAAAGACTTCAGATATGGGAGCCTAGAAGGAAAACAACCCAAGCTCTCCTTGGTGGTGCAAAATGTGGGAATTTCTGCCTCATCCTCAAGCCCCAGAAGGCCAAGGCCAAGTACCAAGATCCCCTACAGCAGCCACTGTGCTCCAGGGCTGGGAACCAGCTGCTGCTGTTTTTGTAGGGAGGGTAAGTGTGGTCCTCCGGGTGCCTGAGTGGGGAAAGGGTCCACGCAAGATCCCACTGTATTTCGTTATCAGCAGTGGCAAGGCTGGGCCTCAGAACACCATCCTCCAAGAAGCACCAGCTGTCCCAGGACGGCCTAATGCTTGGAAGAGTCTGGAGGCTGGTGGGGACTGAGTGTCTCCACACAGCACCGAGGAGACACTGAAACACCAAAGCCGCGGCCACCGCCGCCAGCTGATGCAAGTTTTATTGAGACAATGTACAAACAGGCCATGGAAAACAAAGGTTTTGATGCTGGGACCAGTTTATGCAAAATGGAACACAAAAATAAAAAGGCACTGATCTGCTAAGAAAAGACACTTGATGTATTCTAAGAATATAAGTCATTTAATACTGTTAACTTTATAGCACAAAATAAAACAAGCTATGATCCCCAAAAATAATTTTAACAGCTTAACACAGAAAATATTATTGCCTGAAGTTTATGGTCTTTAAGTTACAGGTCAAAAGAGTTTTGGGGTGGTGATGGTGTTTGAAAACACAGTGAAGACCATCTCAGAAGCAAGGCCACTGTTCCTCCTGCAGAGATGATCCTGTCCCAGGGAACCGTCCTTCTACTCCTACAGAATATACAGCCAGCTCAGTGTCCACACTGACAGCAGTTACCAGGGACACAGTTCTCCAGTCCCAGAGGGTGGACACTCAGGCACAGCTCAGTGGTGTCCACAGAAAGCATTAGTCTTAGGTCCTGTGTTAAAACAATCGAGAATTCACTCATTTTAAGAGGTTAATGAACACAGTATTAAAGGATTAAATTATAAACACCTGGCACAAAAACACCTCATCCTTTTTGAAAAACAGACGTTCATATTCCTCTGAGCAAACACGACAAGGGCGGTGGCCAGCGCCTTGGGTCTGCCTTGTCTGTAAACAGCTGTGCAGGAAGCGCAGCGCGGTGCCGTGTGCTTGAGCTCCAAAGGACGGCCTCTGGCTTTCCTGCCTGTCAGCTTTCCAGCACAGAAGGGCTCTAGTCTGGAAGATCCAAGTCGTCAAGCGGCAGCTACTCAGTGGGTCCTCCTCTTGGTTATGATGCCATCTAGTGGAACCACATAGCTCAGAAGAGACCAGGAAGACTCCAGTGTGAGAGAGGTCCTTCCCAGAGTTTGATTCAAATTGTCAATGCCCTTTAGTACATAATTTGTTTCCGTCCCAAGTAAAAAATCAGAGTGACAGTTAATTTAACAGCCAAATATTTTCTTAAATGACACACAGTAGAGCAGAGCAAACAGCATCATGAACAGTCATAAAAGGGAAAACCCCGGGATAGAGGCAGCTCCTCCAGGTCATATTCATGTTGTTTTGAGAAGCACTGATGGTTCCAAGGCAGGTGGGGATCTGGCTACAATGCCAAGGCAGTGGTGCTGCTTTTCACATTTAGTGTGAAAAAGAAAATCTCCTGGCCTGATTAAAAACTGATGCAGTTCCAAATCTAAAGTTACTACTTTTGGCACTTTTCTCAAGAGTTCAGAACTCTGATTCTGGGATGAACCTCCTGGGCAGTCCCGGAAACATTCTCATGGGCTGCAGCCACGAGCTGACTCACTTTGGGACTGACCCTAGGTTTAGGGAAGGGTTTGACTCTGAAGGTGGGCCTCGTAGACATGGCTGAAACGAAACCTTGCTTTCTAAAGTTGCTATGCATTTCTTGTGTGCTGAGCCAACTTCAGTGTCAACATCAAAATGTGTGAAGCCCCTCAGCTCAACTTGGCTTAAAAAAGCCTGAGGGTTTGTGCTCTCTTTAAACAAGGCAAGACGTTCCACCTTCTACTGAACATCCCACTTAGGCGCAGATGCTGATAAGGGCAGGGTGGAATCTGTTCAATGGCTATAGGGCAAGTGTAGTTCTTGTGTGGGGACTCGGGTTGGGCTTAGCTCAGAGCAGGCCGAGCTCACAAGAAGCAGTGTTGCAAACACGCATCATCAGAGCAAGAGGCGGCCACAGTTCTTACTGGGCAGCAAGGGCTGATTACTAAGCATTTTCCAGGAAATCTACGGCCAAGGTGATATTTTTTTTCAACTAACCATTAATTTTGTCACAGGAGCACTCCCAAGGTTCTTTAACGTGGCCCAGTGGAATACTGATTTAAAGAGAAATTGAAAATTGGTTGTTTGTGGTTCTGTCACCAGAATATGCTCTATACCTCAAGAGCCTCCAACAATAGGGCCATGGCTACAGCAGACGCTCAGTAAATGGTACCAAGTTCCTCCTTAGGTTGCTGCTACAATTCTCGGTCTTACTCTGAGCTGATGCTTATCTTCACCAGTGTTCAGAAGCCAGAGCAGACTGGACTACACAGAGGTTCCAGAATCCTAGTCTGCTTTGTGTAGTAGATGAGGGCGTGGCCAAACGTTTGTACATGCTGGCCTGTATGAGCAGGCCTCTTTGAGCTAACAGGGCGATGTTTTACACCAAATTGGTAAATGGTTAATGGTCACTCTAGTCACCAAAACATTCAACATCAAATGCACTGACCAATTTCCAGAGCTTGTTTTTCCTTGCTTGAGAACATGGTGGACATGGACTGCAGAACCAGGATCAGCAGCACCACCTTCTCTGGCAGCCTGGCAAGCCTAGGCCTGGCAGGGAAAACCAGATCTCAGGGAGCTGAACTTAACGCAATGATTCTTTCAACAACCTCACTTTTTCAAGAAATTTTAAGTCCCACAATACACCTTAAAAGAACGCATTCACTGGAAAGCTGGACAGAAAACTCCTCTGTCACTGGCAAACAAGGTAAGCAAAGCTGCCCAATCACCACCCCCATCCCCCCCACTTGATGCCTTTAGGGAACATGTAATCCAAGAGGCTGTCCACACACGCTGGCATGCCATGACTACCGATTATTGTTTTGTTTGCTATTTGGCAAAACAAGGTACTATCAACAACACCAAGACAATAAAGGACCCGCTTCAGGGCCATTCTCTTCATACCCCTTTAGTTACAGCAGCTTCATTCCAGAAGCTCAGAGGCACATGTCATTCCTTATGATATCACAAAAATTCAACCTGCTACTTATAAGCCTGTTCAAAACACACAAGCCTAATTAACTAGTCTTCCAAAACCAAACCAAACCAAAAGAAAAGCCGGATTTGGGGAGTTTAGAACAGAATTCTCTCTTCTTTAAGGTTCACTTCCTCTGTTCTCCAAAGGAAAAAGAAGATGGCGGTTGAGCCCTGCTTTGTGGAGTAGCCTCAAATTTCCACTGATGAACACGACAGCACTGGTCACAGTAAAAACAGGGTAGTGATGAGAAGGAAGACCTTTTCCTTGTCAACGTCTCTCCACTTGTGTGCTTCCACCAGGATTTCCAGTTTATGACCCAAAAGAATTCTAAAATTGGCTACTTGTTGACAATACAACTATGATACAAACGCCAGGAGGCAGCCTGCTGTGTGCATTCCAAATGTGCGTGAGACATCCGTCTGCAGAGTGGGTGCTATGATGCAGCGGCACTTGCCCATGAGAGAGAATGCATTCCCACTTCAAAGGAGACTATGACAGGCAGAACACGAAGCAGCAGGTACCGGGCAGCAGCAATCACTCATTTTCATCTGGGTTTTGAGGGTCAATGATTTTGACGTGTGTAAAGGGGAAAAGCCCTTTACGCCCATTCACCTCGCCTTCCCACTGGCCATTTATATTCATCCTTGTGACTTTCACAATGTCACCAACCTGCAAGGATGGGGAGAGAGGACAAGTCAGCATTTTCTCTGCAAACTAAAGAAAAAGAAAGTTTACATTAAATCATAGGCACTGTCCTATCCAAAGCAACCTGCAAACTCTCTTGCAGGGCCCACACTTAAAGCCAAGCATGCTGAAGACACAAGGTGCCGCTAGTGAGCCCAGTGCACTTCGCCTCAGCCAGCAAGAGACTCATCGGAAGTAGCTCTGAGCATACAGCAGCCTTTCTTCCTTTTTCAAATTAGCTACCAACCTCAACAGGACGGAAGGGACACTTGACTCTTTGATAACGTTAAAGTCACACAAAAAGGTGTATTTAGAAAAAAACCTGTCTCTGCTCAAATCTACTTGGGATTGAACTCCTGTCACTTAGAGACCTCCCTCACCATGCCACCTCCCACAAGAAGCATAATGTCTCTGGCTGATCGTTCTCCCTACTCTGTGGGCAGTCACTGGGAGAAGGAAACACAGCTCTGAGTATCTTTTAGTGTCTACTTGAAACTGCAAGGTGGGAGAAATTCTATGCACTGCCATAGAGGACAGGCACCCGCTAGGGCTGGTCTGTTCATCAAAGGAAGACAAATCTAGGCAGGTGTTTCATTTTGGAAGTAGTTTCCAGATTGTTCTGGAGACCCACAGAGCTCTAGGGAGGTGCGTAAAGGGTCCAACAAATGTCTGACCGGGGTTTCAGTTTTTAAATTCTATTTTTTTTTAAGTTATAATAAAAAGCACATTCAAATATATTATAGCCACTGACATATTAACGTGTGCTTCCCTGCAAAGCTGCTTTTATGCAGTCCTCCTTGGAATGAAATTTCTCTTGGTGTGTGTCTTACTGAAGACTACCCCCAAAATGGCAAGGTAAAGGCTAAATAAGACCATTCAACAAAGATCAATTCAGAAATAAATAAGATGCCGGGGCTGACCTAAGACTGCATCTGTCATTCATAACGTTATTTCCAAATTTCTCTGCCCATTATGATAGTTAGTAACTGTTTTCCCCAGTTGTCTCTTCAAGTATTTATTATAAATCTCAACTTACAAACTATACTTATACTGAAACCATTCCTGAAGTCAACTCTTCAGACATAGATTAGACTGGACTATAAGCATAAAATGATACTTGTGAAGAGTGTGCTTCTTAGCTCCAGTAGCTACATGAGACTAAATGGGCAGCTCCTGTCTGGAGGCGAGATGAGAAGGCAAAAAGGGACAGGAGCTGGCTGAATGGACACAGGAAATCCGGGGTGGAAAGGAGGAGTGTGCTGTCACATTATAGGGAGAGCAACTAGGGTCACATAACAATGCGTGTATAAATTTTTGTATGAGAAACTAACTTGAACTGTAAACTTTCACTTAAAGCACAATTTAAAAAAAAAAATTAAGTTATAGTCACAATAGCCAAAAGGTAGAAACAACCTAAGTGTCTATCAACAGATGAATGGATAAACAAAACGTGGCACAGCCATACAATGGAATATTATTCAGCCATAGAAAAGAGAAATGAAGTTCCAATACCTGTTATGACATGGATAAACCTTTGAAAACATTATGCTGAGTGAAATGAGTCAGACAGAAAAGGACAAACATTGTATGATCCCACTTATATGAAATACCTAGGATAGGTAAACGCATAGAAGACCAAAGTTTATTAGAGGTTACCAGGAGCTAGGCGGAGGGAGGAAGGGGAGGTTATTGTTGAAAAAGTACTAAGTTTCACTAATAGTCGACATGACCATGGTCTCATCTACCCTGAGACTAGAAAAACTAGATGGTGCTCAGCTACCACCACCAACTGTTCTGATCAGGGCCACAATAGATGGATCCTGACAGAACAGGAGAGAAATGTGGAACAGAATCCAAATTCTTGAAAAGTTCAGACTTACAGGACTGAGACTAGAGGACTCCCTGAGACTATCACCCTGAGATACACTTTAAATCCTAAACTGAAATTATTCCTTGATGTCACCTTTTAGCTAAATAACAGATTGGCTCATAAAATAAGGAGACCAAATGGTCAAAAATTACTCTAAAGGAAAATGAGAAGGTAAAGCAGCAGGGAAACTAGAGTACTGGAAATGGTATCATCAGAATGGAATGAATGAGACTAACAACATATTGTGAAAAACATAACCAGTATCACTGAATAACTTGTGTAGAAACTGTTAAATGGGAACCTAATCTGCTGTGTAAACTTTCACCTTAAACACAATAAAACATTAATAAAAAGAAAAAAAAGTACTAAGTTTCTGTTTGGGGTGATTAAAAAAACCTTTGTAGCACAACCTGGTGACTGTAATTAAAGCTGCTGAATTGTACAGTTAAATATAGTTAAAATGGAAAACTTATTGTTACATATATTTCAGCACAATAAAATTTTTAAAAATTGTTATATAACACTTCAGTGTTTACTCTGCTTCTGCCTTAAAAGGAAATAAAAACTTAGTAGAGACAGTAAAAGGATTTAATATGAGGTGAGGAACCACCAAACTGTCTTCTGCAGTAGCTATATCATTTTACATTGCCCCCAGCAATGGAGGAGAGTTCCAGTTTCTCCACAACCCTGTCCACATCTACTGTTTTTAGTTTTTTTGATCACTACCATTCTAACTAATAGGGCGAGATGGTATTTAACTGTGGTTTTGATTTACATCTCCCTAAGATCCCTGGGTGGTGTAAACGATTCAGCGCTGGACTACTAGCCAGAAGGTAGGTGGTTTGAACCCACCCAGAGGCACCTACGAAGACAGACCTTGTGATCTGCTTCCCAAAGGTCACAACCTTGAAAACCCTATAGAGTAGTTCAGCTCTGCACACATGGGGTCGCCATGAGTCAGAAGTGACTCAACAGCAACTAACAACAATGGCTAACGACTTTAAGCATCTTTTTCTGCGCTTGTTGGCCATTAGAATATCCTCTTTAGTGAAATGCCTGTTAAGAGTCCTCTCACCATTTATAGATTGGGTTGTCTTTTTTGTCGTTGTTGAAAATACACAAAGCAAAACATACACCAATTCTACATGTTTCTGCATGTACAATTTGGTGACACTGATAACACTGAGTTGCGCAACAATCCGAACTCTCCTTTTCCGAGTTACTCCTCCTCCATTAACATAAACTCACTGCCCCCTATAGTTCCTACCTATTTAATCTTTGAGTTGATATTGTCACTTTCATCTCATACAGGCAGTTCTTAAAAGTGCATAATACTCAAGGCAGATGTTCTTTACTAGTTAAGCTAAACTATTGTTTGGTTTCAAGAAGACTTTAGGGGATATCTTTTGGTTTAATGCTCATGGGTACCTCTAGGGACCAACTACTTTTTCTGCCTCTGAAAGTTTATTGGGCAGCTGCTGCACCACCGAGAAGCCCTGGTAGTGCAGTGGTTAAAGTGCTCAGCTGCTAATCAAAAGGTCAGTGGTTCAAACCCACCAGCCACTCCGTGGGAGAAAGATGTGGCAGTCTGCTTCCGTAAAATATTTATAGCCTTGGAAACCCTAAGGGACAGCTCTACTCTGTCCTACAGGGTCACTACGAATCGGAATTGACTCGACAGCAGTGGGTGTTTTGCTATACCACTGACAAACTGCATGCTGCCAAAAGGCAGGGGCCTTTATGACTGTTTGAAACCAAAGAAACGGGCATGCGCCACAAATTACTGTTTTTACAGGCTACTTGTAGTGCCTGAATTTTTTGGTATGAAAAATAGAAATTTTGAAAAATCTTACTTATATGTACCAAGAGACCCCAGTGGGCGCTCTGGGGTATAATTAGTGGTACTTCATACGTACCACTAAATACTTAGGGTAGGCTTGTGGGAGGGGCAAGGAAAAAAAAAAAACCCATACTACCTACCCAAAATTCAGACACACTTGATTCAGCATGCTTCCATTAATGAAAACACATGGAATCAACAAAAAATTCAAAGGAGAAAATAACTGAGCACAAATGGGCTATGGTTTACATTATCTCAGGGCAATAGTTTCAGCTGTTTATCCACCCTCCGTGGCTCCAGAAAGTCTGGAGTCCATGAGAATTTGAAATTCTGTTCTGTATTTTCTCTTTTGATCAGGACTCTTATACAGAATTTTTGACCAATACATTCAGTAATGGTAGATGGGCACCATTTGGTTCTTCTGGTCTCATGGCAAAGGAGACAGTTGTGCACAGAGGCAATCACCCACACATTCCATTATCTCCTCCTATTCCTGACTCTCCTTCTCTTCCTCTGTTGCTCCACGACAAACAGAGACCAAGTGTACCTTGGATAGCTGCTTGCGAGCTTTTAAGAACTCAGGCACTAGGAAAAAAAGCACTAAACACGTTATTAGGCCAATTAACTGGGATGCCCCAGGAAATCACAACCCCTAAACCTCCAAACCAAGAAACCAAATCCCATAAGGTATGTAGGTGTACACAGGCAGCCTCAACAGCACTCTTCTTTTTTGGTCGTTGTTGTACATATATCTATATCACGACTTTTGCCATTGGCTGTATCACCCTACCATAATCAATGCAATTTTTCCAGCACTGTTAACCCTCTCTTCTCCCCCTCCCTCCCGCCCCTGGTAACCGCTAATAAGCTTTGGTCTCTATACATTTGCCGTTTCTTGTCTTTTTATATAAGTGAAGTCATACAATACTTGTCCTTTCGTGACTGACTTATTCCACTCAGTATAATGTCTTCAAGCTCCATCCATATTGTAGCATGTATCAAGACTTCATTTCTTCCATTTGCTGAGTAGCATTCCACTACATATGTGATAACCTAGTACACCAAATTTTGTTTCTCCATTCATCTGTTACGGGCATTTAGGTTGTTCTACCTTTTAGCTATTGTGAATAGTGCTACAATTAACACTGGTGTACAAGTATCTGTTAAGAGTCTCTGCATCCAAGTCTTTTGGGTATGCTAGGAGTGGAACCGCTGGCTCATAGGGTAGTTCTATCTTTAGTTTTCTGAGGAACCCCCATACTGCTTTCCAGAACG